TAGCCCACAGTTTTCAAAAGCAGAAGAAAAACTAATCCAGAATTAAAAAAATAAAACCTCCTCTGTTTCCAGAACGAAGTTACCCTGTCAGCTTGCCTTGGGCCTTAGGTGGAGAAGTGGAGATTAAAGAGTCAGTATTCCTTTTCATGTTTCGTCTGCCAGTTTTGTGAATGTAGAAAGAGTACTTGTGGCTGCAGCTGAGTATCCAACTATGGTATTAAGTATGGCATTTTCATCCTTATGCAGTAAATTAAAAATATTCTTATAAGTTTATCACAAGGGAAATTCAGTATCATTACCATCCAGTCATTGATAAAGGTATTTCAAGGAGAAGGGTGAATAGCACAGCAGATGTAACCTCAATATTTTCACCAATTATAAAGAGGCTCTTTGTGAAGCTGTGTGAATATGTAAGATGATCTCATCATTTCCTATTTACTCAATACTTACCTGAATACGCAATATAGTGTAGCTTTTCAATGCATATGCACATGAGTAAAATGTCCTTTTGTAAGAGACTTCGCTAAAAGACTGCTTTTGATACACAATTTCTTCATCTCCTCTTCAAACTGAATTAAGCTACTTCCTTCTTTTAAAACACAACTCACTATTTAGAAGCTTTGGCTTTGATTTCTCAGAACAGCCTTACAGGAAGAAACTATGTTCTTTTTCTTTTTGTAACCATATTTCTGAAGACAAACTTGTACTGATTTATTTTGATTTTCTAACAGAAATAGGTTCCTGCAAAGAACACTGACTGTTTCTTCTTCTCCCCCCTCCTTCACTCCACTGCTACAAGAATATTGCTGTGCGCAAAGCTACCAAGAAAAACTGAAATCCCTCTGTTGGGAACTGTGTACATAGCAGTATATTCATACTTTGAGAAATAAGTGAGATTTTTTTTTAGTTCTTAGCATGACATACTGTGCATTTCTTGCATGCTAACCACTGAATTCAAATTGAGTATCTAGGTAACATTTCAGCAAATTTTAGTCAAGTTTAGCATCCACCATTTTAGAGAATATATCTGTGCAGCTAACATAAATGTCAGCAGTTTTAAAACATTAACCCTCAGTCCCTCAGTTATTCCCTTTGATTAAAGGGTTTATATAGATGTATATATATATAATTATATTTCTCATCCTGTCCGTAGCATTTAAGATTTGTTTCATTCTCCTGTTCACAGTAAGACTTACTGTAGAGATTGTTCCTGATGGCTATTAAACTGAAATCCAGCGTTAGATTTCCCTGTATTTCCACACAATATGGCTTAGTAACAAGGCCTTTTTTCCCCCTTTTCTTTTAAACATGTAACTCCCATTAACATTTTGGAGACTTATGCACTGGTTAGCAGAAGAAATTAAGCCTGTAAAAGAAGTCACCTCCCCTGCTATTCTTTCAGACGGAGTGATACACTCAGTCCTGCATAATCCCTTGTAACTGCAGCCACATGAGCCATCCCACTGTTGTGGTCACAAGTCTCACCTTCCTCTGTACTACATTGTCTGCCAGATTGGGTGCTCCATGTGTAATACAAATAGAAATTTAACGCTCGCTGCATTTCTCAGTGTACAAAAATATAGAGCTGAACCCTGATTCCCAGTAAGGAATTTGCCTTAAGTACAGCCTGAATAAGTTCAGGATGTGGTCCACATGGCATTGCTTTGTCAGAAGTTTATGCTAAGCTGAAATGCATGGTCTGCTGCTAATAACAAAACATGACTTCACAAGCAGAGCTTAGGGTGAACTAATTCTTTACTTTCATTTCTTAAAATTAGTAATTTTATCAATGGATTGCCTGTACCTGCAAGCTGAAGACCCTCAAAATGAAACTGGGCTTTACTCAGTAACACTAAGTTATCAATAAACCAGATAGATTTCCCTTCCTAACATGTTATTCTAGCTGGTTGTTTTCTCAAAATTCTCATCTAATTTCTAAGTTTCAACCTGGCAATGCCAACAGTTAAAAAATAACATAAATTTAGAAAACATTTCAATTTTTTTTTTTCATTTTTCTCTTTCATTGCATTGAGAAATTTCTTCCTGAGCTATAGTATAAGCTTTCAGAACTGGCTTGGGGGTGCATAGTGTACTCTCAGAGGATGTAAGAACCAGATTTAACAGCACAGCTGGTCTGCCAGAGAATCTCTTTACAGAGAGAATTTTTATATTGAATCATGGGACTTCCTTTACAGCGTGGTCCACAAATCTCTCATATGAAATGTGCTTTAGACAGACGCAGGAAGGAAAATCCTGTGTATGTGGTAATATATCTGAGCTGGCCAAACAGAGAGTGGGAATTTGCATGCAGATGAACTTCATGGAAAGCTCATTTTCCAGACAGTATTTCAAATATTCTTTAGATGTGCAGTAATTTGGGAGCCTGAACTCTGTTGGTAGTTTATATGCACCTCTGATGCACTGAATTCTCTTTCTTGAAAAAGCAAGCACCTTTGCCTTCAGAAATAACTGTGCAGTAATTTGGGAGCCTGAACTCTGTTGATAGTTTATATGCACCTCTGATGCACTGAATTGTCTTTCTTGAAAAAGCAAGCACCTTTGCCTTTAGAAATAATTTATAAGGTTTTAATTTCCCCTTTTTTCCATAGTTCTGAGATGAATGCTCTGTTCAACTCGTGACATAGACTTTTCCAGTGGTTGCAACAACCAATATAAAAAGTACTGAAGGAGAAAGGACTTGTCCAGGATGAAATGGACTGAAAGAGCTGGAGGGTCTGAGTCCTCATAGCTATCAGTATGCAGAATCGCAGTGTGCTCTTCAGTCACTGGCTAGTGACTCACCTGGTACCTTGACTTTCAAATGTGCATGTGGGCAGTTGTGAGGATTCATCCTTTGGTATTTGTGTAGCATGGTAAACTCCTCGGATAAAAACTGTTATAGAGAAGATAACAGTATAATTAGTAGATGAGAGTGCAGATTTTACTTGGTTTTGCATGCACCTGTGGGTGTTCAGGTTTCCAGAAAGGAGCCAGTATCACTCCAGACTGCCAGTCATATCAGTTTTACTGTCAGCTGCAAGCAGAGAATTTTGAATGTCTTATTTTACTGAAATGGAAAAGTCTACCGTAATCAAAACTTACAGCAGTACTTTTCTTCTCTTATTCTTCATAACTGATAAAGTTGGGCTAATTTATGTGGGATTGTTTTCTAAAGTGAGTAGTCGGTTGTTCATATTTTATCTTTATTCTACTTTACAATGTGATTTCGAAGCTGATGAGCTATCATAGCAGGATATTTAGAGCTTGGAATATAAAAGTAAAAATTTAGGAAAACCTATGGATCACTGCTAGAAACAAACATAGTTAACTAGAGGTTGCTGAAAAACAACAGGACCTAGATCACAAGTATTTGTTCATATTACAGCTGAACCTAACTTGCGTATTTCATTCACTTTACATTGCACTTTTTTACACACATTTTTTTATTCAGTAGTTGAAAAATTGCAGTGGGAATTGGGGGGTACCTCCAAGGTAAGAAAGCATCTGTGTTTGTATGGCTGCCTTTGTAAATATATTTTTCTGCACATATCTGTTGTACATGGATTTAGATATAGATACATTCATGTCTATAATTAGGGGTATAGACATTTGGTTAACTTGAAAGCTCCAAAGTGTCGTTTGTCACATTTATGGCAGGAACTTTAACTGCTTTAAATACTTATGCTTTTCCAAAGTGACTTCTTTCTTTTCCCTCTACAAAAAAAAAAAATCAAAATGTACTTCATGAAACTATTGTATATGAAGCACTTATTAGCCGTAATTAAATGGACAATATGAATTTACTACGTCTTTAGGACTCTGGCTTGTTCTGGTTTAGAGCAAGATGATTAATGCAAATACATATTACTTGAGATAACCATTTAGCAGCTAATTTAGCCAAATTTATTACAGCAGTTAGAGGTTTTTCATTTTAGCAGACGGAGACAAGGACATGACAAAAGCAGAAGGTGTATATGAATGCACACTGCCCTCTAGTGCACAAAGCTTTATGGGATTAATGAAAGTGCGGGGGAGAGTAAGGGCTCCAGGAGCAATTGTACCTAGATTTTGTACAGTTTAGGTTTTCTTTAAAACTATAGTACAAATCTTCCACTGAAAAGTTTGCATTTCATCCCCTTCTCCTGACACTAAAGCATTACATACAAGACAAATCTGCTTCAACTTGGCAATGTTTTGGCTGAACTATTACTTTAAACATCTGTATTTTTAAGCCTTCGTGCTGTGAGTATTTAATTACACCGTTTCACGTTACTGATTGTTTTTACTTGTTTCTCTGTTTCCTAGCATATTTCAAACATCAGAACGAGCTGTCACTCTTTGGCTCTAACCAAGCCTCCCTTAGGTCTCTTTCTCAGTCTATTGGTGGATTTACTTTGCTCTGGTAGAAAGTAAATTCTCCCAAGACTTTCCCCTCACTGACCAGTGGAGATTTGGTTCATCTGAGAACTGTAAATTCTGTTTGACAAGATCAAAGAAACAGATGTATAAGTTCAGTGGTTGATATCGCCTGCAATAAGGAGAAATGATCAAAGCAGCAGGGGTAGAGTATCTTCCCAAACCTTTCAAACATCCAGAATCTCGAAGAGGTCTACCTAGGAGCTATGAATAAATCACATATAAATTTGCCTCTTTTTTTTTCCTTTTCTTTTTTTTACAGTTTGACATTGACTGCATTGAAAATGTCCACACAGCAATAAGTGTTCTGTGAAACAAGATATCTGTAGTTCTTTTTACTTTTTTTCTTCCACTAGAGTTTCCAAAAACAGACTGAAATTACACTTGAAAAAACTTGTAAAACATAGATAGTTATACTGAACTTCAGATTCTGTTTGTCATCTCAAAGGCATGCTGCAGTAAACCTGAAGGAAGACATGTATCTTCTGCTCATACTTGTGCCATGTTGTACAATGAAGATCATTTTACCACGGTTCTAACATACACTATACCTTGCTTCTGTTTTGTTTGTATTTTTTTGCCAGTGCTGAATAAGGGTCAATGTGTAACAAAGTATTACCGCTGGATGCAGAAGAACGGGGGTTATATCTGGATACAGTCTAGTGCAACCATAGCTGTCAATGCCAAGAACGCAAGTGAGAAGAATATCATCTGGGTCAATTACCTTCTTAGGTAGGTCTTCCAGGAACTTCTCTTACTTGAACTGCTGTCTCTGTTGCTTGTCTCTGTAGTGAGTGTTTTAGAGAAAAAACAATTGCCAACTGAGGATTCATATGGTTCACCTCAAAAACAGTGCCATTTGGTAATATTTATTGAGACATCTATCATGTCTCAGTACACTGGAATATTCTTGAGTTATTATGCTGCCTTAGTCTTCAAATAAACCCTCCACCATTTTATTGCATGCCTTCACTGCCCTGAAATCTACTCAACCTGGGCTCAAAGGTAGAAATTATCTACACCAACTTTCAGTAGTTGTGTTAAAGCTGATGTGAAGTGTTGAGCACTGGTTCATTTGGTAATAGAAACTGCATGGAAGCAAACTTCTGGAATGCTACAAAAAGGTCTCTCTGAAAGGTGTTTGCCTTGGTCACTCCAGAGAGAGGAATTTTCTCAGGAGAAAAGCTGTGAACTGATATGTTGCTCCTGTAGCCATCAGCGTATTCACACTGAAAAATGCAAAATAGGATTTAAAAATAAAGGTAGCAATTAAAACTATTTTAAACTATTATAACTATTTTAAGCAGAAATAGTAGTAATATCTTGAATGAAAGACTCTTCCCTGAGAAATTCTGTTTTGCCAAAGCCCAAGTATTTTTAAAAGACTGGTTTCTGAGCTCAAGGGAAGACCAACAGTCACTGAGAGACAGTGAATTATAAACCTGACCTTTCTCATCTTGAAAGTACCTTTCAACACATTCTGTTTTGTGAAAATGTTCAATAAGATTGGGGGATTTTCTGTTTCATTCCAGAGCAGAGCAAACAAACAAATAAAATTTGAAACCTTGGGATTGTCATGAAATGCAATTGTCATTTTCTGGCCTGTTCTCTTTTTAAGTTGCTTGTCATGGTTTGTTACATTCCCTTTGATGCCACAAGAGTTCAAAGTGATGTCTAGGGGTTAGACTGTGACTTATTATGCCAAGTCCAGCAAGCCCTGAAGAGACTGTGCCTGCCTAAACTTACATTTTTTAAATACTTTTTATTCCCTTTTTGAGGAAGAGGAGGAAGCAACCCCTGGCAGGAGAGCATTAAGAGATACTGTGGGAAACCTTCCGCAGCAGTGGAGTGTTCATTGGAGCTTGCATGTTTCTGTCCTGCTATGACTGAGCACCGGCATTTCTGAATATATCCTTATCCGGCTACGTTTTGTCTCTTTTCGAAGGAGTGAGGCAGAATGCAGCTTTTCAAGAGGTCAGCTTAAGCATAACAGTTCTGAACTGGAAGTGCAGCTTCACTGCCTCAGTCCTAACACAACTTCAAAATGCCCAGAAATGTGCTCATATTCTAAATGGAAAAGTGGTCCATAAGAATTGTGAACAGTTGCCTCGATCCTTTTGCTGCTTTCCAGGCAATAGGTAAACCTAGTCCACAAACGTCCCACAAAATTATTTTCTCTACCAACAGAATATACCTAACAAAAAAAGAAAAGCAGTGTGGTCTTCCCCAAATCTGCTCCCAGAACCTGATTTTTCTGCTGCATTCCCTTCACAGATCTATTAGAGAAAGGTTAGCTTCTCCATTGAATTTGTATTTTTAGTTTAGATTTCTCCTAGTACTAGAATCCACAAAAGATCCAAATGTCCAAATAATATTTTAATGACAGATAAAGGCCTAATTAGGTCTACTCTTAGCAGAAGTACTGGTCTGTATACATTTCCATGCATTAGGAAGTACGATTCAGCTGTCTGTAAAAGGATAGACTAATTATAGTGACAGGGAGGATTAATGCTGTTCTTGTTCTATCAACTTGTTATTCACAGTGTGAAAGCCCTCAAACATCTTTTGCTTAGAGGGGGCAAATTTGGGGACTGCCCTGGGATGCAACAGAATAAAGTCACTTTGTCAGGACAAAAGCGTAAAGATGATAATCGTAAGAATGGCATTTTGAAGTGAACTACGTGAACTTTGAATTTTCAAAGTACACTGTAATAGGCTGAATATGGACACACTGTCATTGTGATAGTGCATCAGTCACCCCCGCTGCTGCCTTATATTATTCCACGCAGGCCTGCAGATTTTCTGCTCTATCACCAGGCGGGAATTTGAACTGCATAGAAATGCTCACCTATTCAAAAATAATTAAAGACTTTGTTTATTTTCAACATTCCTATGCCACTTATGTCTAGCTGTGTCTGTTCCTCTGCTTGTGCAGAGATTTGGGAATGGAACATTTTAAAAGGTACAAACCAAGAAAAAGCATAGGGATGGGTTTTGATTTTCCCGCCCCCAGTTTCTCTGGTAGCATAGCTTTTTTACATTGCAGTCATGTGCATTGCTAACAAGTCACAGGTGAGCACCACACGAGCAGATGAAGATATGATTATAATGGGTGTGTTGACAGTTCTTTATCCCTAACATATGCATTTTAACATGCACATGTGCATCTGTCATATAGTTAGAGTGGTTGCTTTTGGTTTCTTGGTGATGTGGATGCATGTGTGCTGTGTTTCAAAAATATATAACCTTTTTTACCTATTTTTTGACCAAATTCTTTTCAGCAGTGGCCATTTTCTCTAGCCTTAGCTGACCACTTTCTTACTAACTTTATGTATGGTCTGCTTGATTAAAGTGTGGAAAACAGGAACATTGAGAAAAACAGGTATTGAAAGGACTCTGGAAGGTTGATAGAGAACATTATTACAAAGATAACTCTAATAGACATTGCCGGTGGGAGAGAAACATATTGGAAAAGTTAAAACACCCTCTCTGTCCTTCCAGGCACAGTAATGGGATCGAAATCAAGATATTTTGTTGTCGGATGATTACACAGTGTAGCTTTACTGCTAGATATCGCACAAGCTATGGTGTCCCACTTCAGTAAGAATGCTTTGATAGCTCTAAAACTTCACTAGAATCAAACCAGTTTTAGTACCTGGTCAATATAAGTATTTGACAGCTGTATTAAAATAAACCTTCATAAAATCCCTGCTGTGAAGCTCTGAGGAGCTGAAAATGTATGTTTCTGTGTTTTCTCTGCTATTCTTCCTATTTATGTTCTTTGTTCCTGAACTTTGATATGAAAAGAGGGAAAAAACATGAAACTGCAAATCATCCTGTTGTGTTTATATTTGCTGTCTCCTCTTCAGTAACCCAGAGTACAAGGACACTCCAATGGATATTGCACAACTTCCTCATCTGCCAGAGAAAACCTCAGAATCCTCAGAGACCTCTGACTCTGAATCAGACTCAAAGGACAACTCAGGTAACACATGTGGCGTGCCTTTACACCCTCAAAAGTTTCATATCATGACAGCCACACTGTTGGCTTTCCAGTTGCTCTTACTTCGCAAGGTTTGTAACATCCATTATAACAAAACAGATAAAATTCTCATCCATTATAACAACAACAAAAAAAAAAATCCTGTAAAATTAAATTGAAAAACACTAGCAAAATCTTTTAATGGCCTCAGCATTTCCACAGTATCTCCATTTCCTCAGTATTACTTTTCACTCTGTGCATGCATCCCTGTCTACATTGCACCACACTAAATATTTGTTTTCCCAGCTAAACTTCATGAACTGGTATTGTGCCTTGTGAAGAGGACCTGGGATTAGAACTGTTGAATACAATTCTAGTTCTTATCTTTCCAGCTAGGGGGCAGTGAAGATTGCAAAATTTGAGGGTTTTCTTGGGTTAAAAGAATTCTATTTTATTAGAAGGTATGGGTTCAAGCACTTGTTTCTACGCTCTTTAAGTCTAGGACTTCCACTGTTTTTTAAAAGCTAAATGTGCTTGTCAAACTCAAGGTGTAAATTAGTCCTACAGATGGTCCAGTGCACAGGTGGTTCACACATTACCCATTAGTTTTAAAAGTGGTTACCTAGTAACAGTTACAGATCATCTGGCTTTGAAAGGACTATGGTTTCCTGTGGCCCAAGAACTAAGGATGTTACTCTGCTGTAGTATGTGATATATATATATATATAATTTTTCTCTTGTGTCTATGATAACAACCAAAAAAAATCTGGAGAAAATGGACCACAGTGACATAAATCAAGTAAAAGCAAGAAGAGGATCAGGCCTTAATGTTGTATCATATGATATCGCTGTTCTCTTTCATCTTTTGCCTTTATTTATTCTCCTTTGACAGCTTTGATTTGATGGTTTAAGTCAACATTAGGCACACATGCAGGCTTGTTGCTTACCATCATTGGGAATCTCTTCACCCATTCCCACTGCTTCCTTTATGCTGTCTTGTTCCCAAATAGCCAAATAACACACATGTGGAGAACATTTGCATTTCCCACGCACACTGTAAGTTTCTCCAGGTGAGAAGTGCATTCTTCAAAGGTTCACAGATATGTACATCTCAGAAGGAGATGTCTGGGAGTCTTGGAAGACAGCAGAGGCAGGAAGTTTTTTTTACAAAAGAATTAAGTAGAAAATACCTAAGGACCTGAAATTGGAACAGCATCTTAGATGAAATCAACAAGTTCAGTTCAAGCTCTGATAAAATCCCAGGCAAATTTTGTGCAATTTTAGATTACTTCACTCTAAGCCCACTATTAACCAGCTAGAAACCATGACCTTAAAAGAAAGTATCTTCAAAAAAAAAGAAAAAAGATCGTAGGAGAAATTCAGCCTTAGGTAGAACAAAAAGCTGGGTGAGATTTAGAGGTTTGCGACTGTTGCTTTGCTTTTATGGGTTTTATTTTTCGAAAGGGAGAGTCTCACTGCTGCTGGTGACTCAAGCAAGTCCTGATAAGTGACTCATGAAGTGCATTGCCCTGAATCCTCAGGCAGTTTTCCTGTAAGGCCCACCTTTTCCAGCACTTCAGCGAAACTGTTTGGTATTGACGTGGCTCCAGGAGTAACCAATCTTTAGAGGAAAATTTGCCCTTCCCCTCTCCCACTAAAATGAGTATATTGAAAAGGGTCATGCTTGGCTATAATGAGTAAAAAAAATCTTTTCTTTCCCAACAAAAGTTTTCTGGCTGGTCTGTAAGAGATGAGATCTCCTGAAGCCTTTCATGACCTTTTCAAACATAGTATGATATGGAGCATACTCATTCTCAAAGCTGCTTTGACTGTCTGAGTCCAGTGGGCTGGAGTGTTTATCTCATCCGTATTAGAATTAGGTAAAAATATAAACCACAACCAAATGAATTCAGGCAAGAAGAATGACAGCTTCTCAATGCTGTAGCTGGGCTATTTGCAATGGCCCTTAGATGATTTGGATCAGTCAAGTACTTAATTCACTGCCTGAATTTTTTTTCTGTTTTTTTTTATTTGTTGCCCTTCAGGGGAATAGGAGAAGACAGTCTCGCAATGAAACAAAATTGTTTTAACTGGTTTATTCATTCAGATTTATACATGTATGACCTGCTTCTCCTCTCACACAGGAGGAAATCAGCAGTAATTCCACTGAAGTCAGTGGAATTTTGAAAGTGGCAACAATGAGAGGAAAATGAGATGAGGAGACTAGAATCTTCATTAGTAAATACTGCCACACCTGGATGCCTGCCCACTGTAGGGGAACATGGATGTGAAAGAACAATCACCAGAACATAACGGTCATAATGGGATTGTTCACTGACTCCTCTTTGGATGACACAGCTACAATGCCATTGTGCTCACAGTTGTCAAAATGATTCTTGTCCAGCCAGCAGATGAAAAGGCCTCCCTCAAATCTAGGTGCAGGCCATATAGCATAGGCTTTTAGTGCATCGACAGTCCTGAGCCAGAGAGGTTCATGGTGATCAAAACTCTCGCAACACAACACTGCAAAAAAATTATACAACAATCAAATCTCATTGGTAGGTAGAAATTTGGACTTGGGTTATAAAATTATGTTCCTGTTGCTAATGGTTTGTTTCACTTTCCTTTTACTGCAGAGGACAATGAGAACTCAAAGTCAGATGAGAAAGGAAACCAGTCAGAAAACAGTGAAGACCCTGAATCCGACAGGAAAAAATCAGGAAATCAGTCAGATAATGAAATGAACTGTAATGATGATGGGAACAGCTCCAGCAACCAGGACAGCAGGGACAGTGATGACAGCTTTGAAAACTCTGACTTCGAGAATCAAAAGGCCCCTGAGGACAGTTTTGGCACTCTTGGCTCTATGCAGATCAAGGTGGAGCGCTATGTTGAGAGTGAGTCAGACTTGCGGTTGCAGAACTGTGAATCACTGACCTCGGACAGTGCCAAGGACTCAGACAGTGCAGGGGAAGTAAATGCCCAGTCTTCCAGCAAACATCAAAAGAGGAAGAAGAGGAGAAAAAAGCAAAAGGGAGGCAGCATGACCCGGAGAAGGCTGTCAAGCACCTCAAGTCCAAATGGACTTGACTCAGCTTTGGTGGACCAGCCCCAGCTGCTCTCGTCGCCAAACAGTGCCTCAGTGCTCAAAATTAAAACAGAAATCTCAGAACCTATCAATTTTGATAATGATAGCAGTATTTGGAATTACCCACCCAACAGGGAAATCTCAAGGAATGAATCACCCTACAGTATGACCAAGCCCCCCAGCTCCGAGCACTTCCCTTCGCCCCAAGCCAGCAGTAGTTTACATGTCTCCATTCCAGACTCTGTTCTCACTCCGCCAGGGACTGAAAATACTGCCAGCCGTAAAACTCAGTTCAGCACCTCATCCAACTCAGCCTTGGCTCCTGTGTCCTCTGACCCTTTATCACCCCCACTTTCAGCATCTCCACGGGACAAACATCCAGGAGGTCCCACAGCTTCCAACTCCTTATTGTACACTGGGGATCTGGAAGCCCTTCAGAGGTTACAAGCAGGCAATGTGGTGCTTCCTTTGGTTCACAGGGTAACGGGAACCCTTGCTGCGACCAGCACTGCTGCTCAGAGGGTCTACACCACTGGCACTATTCGGTATGCTCCAGCTGAAGTTACTTTAGCCATGCAAGGCAACCTCCTCCCCAACACCCATGCTGTTAACTTTGTTGATGTTAACAGCCCCAGCTTTGGGCTGGATCCTAAAACACCGATGGAAATGCTCTACCACCACGTTCACCGACTCAATATGTCGGGACCCTTTGGAAGTGCTGTGAGCGGGGCCAGTCTGACCCAAATGCCTGCAGGGAATGTGTTCACAACTGCCGAAGGACTTTTTTCCACTCTTCCATTTCCTGTGTACAGCAATGGCATTCACACTACACAGACTCTGGAACGGAAAGAGGATTGAAATATGACCACATACTGTGTTCAGTGTTATACTCTGAGGCATAGACTATGTTTTAATTTAGACCTTTAATTCTAGCACTTTGAATTTGAGCAGGTCAGCTTATTCTCTCAATATGATGGTCCCCATTTCATTCCCTTTCTCTTTAACTTGACTTATTCTTTAATGTAAAGATATTTTTTTATTTTTGCCTTCAGAGAGTCGAAGTACCAGTTGCCTGCCATTTTGTCTTCTTCTAAGATGTGTGTTTTTTCCTTTGCATCTTTATTAAGATGCCTTTAATATGTGTATGCCTCTGCCATAGAATACTCAGTGTTGTGGTAAAGAGATTTTAAAGTGACAACCATTGGTTTTACTTCAAAATGATCTTGATATGATCAAGATTAAAAGAGACAAGCATAAACAATGTGCCCTGTTTGACTAAGTCAAATGAAAAGGGGTTTTTGTTCCTAATTCCTTTAAAAATAGGGGATAGTATTTTAGAATTTTATGCAGAGTTTAATTCTCTTTTTATGGTTAAGATTTTCTTACTTGCACATAAAATAATTTGGGTTCTTAAAAAGTTAATTTCTGGCCTGTGACTAGAATGTTAAAAAGTTGGACTAAATGTTAATTACTGAAACTTTAACTTAATTTCTAAAACCATGGTGCTATCATTTATTAATCTGTAACGTCTTCATACAATATGCAGCTTGTGGGCTGGGTTTTTTGGAAAGAATGTGTTCCGTACTGGTTTATAGTTGGGTGCTGCAGTCTCCTTGGTTAGTTAAGACAAAAGCCCTCATTAACATTTGCTGCAGGACTTAAAATTTTTTACCTCCAAACTAACAAGCATAGCCTCACTTCAAATTTAAATGGGTCAGGAAGCCTTTTTGAAAAAGTGCTTAAAAACAAACAAACAAAAAAATCAATTTAATTGACGCAAGGAGCAGTTTCTTAGGTGCATATTGTTTTGCTTTATTTTTTTCTCAGTGTAACTGAGGCTAATTTCACAACGCCAAATAACACTTCGGAGAAAAAAAAAAAAAAAACAGAAGAACTATTTAACATGTTTTGTTTGGATTTTCATTTAATATTATAGAGGGAAGGTTGTAAATTTCTTTTTGTTCTTTGATTTGGGTATTTTTTGTTGTTTTTTCCTTATTTGTAGTGTTGAAACCAATATGTTTTAAAACTAAAGAATGGGTTAATAAGCTTGAAATGGATAACTACAACTGAAAACTGCACATTAAGTAAAAGAAAAGAAATCTCCTATTTTGTCTTTGTTGCCAGAAATCACGGTGTAGTGTCAAACACTCCAAATGACTGTCAAATATAAATTCTTCTTCCACTCCATCTTTGGCAGCTGTTTGTTAAGGCATCTAATAACAGATGTGAGAACTGTAATGTGTACAATGTGTAAGTGTCCTTGGCTGTCAGTCCCATTGCAGTTTCAATGTGTGTTACTATATGCAGTATATACTAAGCTAATGTAGTTGTTTTGTCCTTTGTCTTCTCTGTGCTTTATCTCTAGTCCGGAGTGGTAAAGTCCCATTCCTGCAGTCCTAGTGAACCAGTGATTCTTGGGGGTTAGTGGTTTTTGTGTGGTGGCCTTCCTCTGTAATGTCACCTTATGCTGCTTCCACTGTCTGTATACCTTTTAATTTCTGCTGTTGCTTTGCTGTTGTGTATTCTCAAACCTCTCTCTGTCCCCCTTCCTCTCTCCCCCCCTCTCCACACCTCTCTTTCTCTCACTCTCTCGTTCTCTCTTCTTCACTCTCAGAGATAAAAGACTCTTAACTAGCTCAAGGTTAATGGAGCCATTTTTCCCACAGAGGATTTCTGGGTATGACTTACTCTTCCAGTGTACCCAACAATGCACTACCGAGTAATGCTCAGATGTATTAAGCAAATTGATGCCATATAGCCTCAGTTGTTAACATTCCCAGAGTCCCTTGTGCTCGAACTGTAAGCAGAGGGTGCATTTCTTTGGTTTTCTCCCAGGTAGGCTGGCGGAGTAATACGTAGAGCAATTACCAGTGAGATAGGAAATACTTTCAAAGGTTAAAAAGGAAAGTGAGCTTAGAATTGTCATATGTATTTGCTTATGTGTGCAATGCTAATATATTAACTCAACTGTCCTTTGAATTTTTAATCATTCGCTGCGTCGAGTCAATTCCTGCGGTAGCTTTGAATTTGAGAAGTAGGTCCAAGCCAAGGCGGAGTAATAGCAAAAAAGGAATTAGACGACACAAATTTAATTAATAAGCTTTTAAAGGTTCCATTGGTAGGATTTGAAAAAGGCAAGAAAGCTGATTGGGAAATTCAAAGTTGAATTTTGGAAGCTCTACTCTAGCTATGGAACAATCAAAGGAGTGCACCTATCAGCTACAAAGAACAGCTAGACAGCTGTTGTTGTTTTGGTTTGGTTTGGTTTTTTTTTTATAAATGTTTCTGTGTTGTGTCAAAATGATTTCTGGTGATTTAAACTAACAGATAATCACAGCTGCTGTCTAAATCCATAGTGTTTAAAATTACAAAATGAAAAAAAAACTTCATTACCTGTGAAGACTGTGTCTGTGTTTTTAACTATTTCTTGTACAAATATATGAAATCTTTTATGAGGAGACTGGTGCCAAGTAGCTGAATAATGGGGAAAGGGATTCTGTTCGTATAAATCTTAGCAGTGTTACCAACTCTACAATATAAAAAAAAAATTAAAATGTTAAAAAGTGACAGCTATGGTACATTTATTTTGTGTTAAGCTAACCGAATCTAACTTCTTGAGTGCCTGGCTTATTTGAAACATTTTTTTCATTGATCATTGATAATGCTGCAAATCAGAAATGTACATACTTCATTTACAACAGGGTTCTTTTTATACTTTTGTAGATTCTCATACATGTCATACATGGTTGTCTTTATGTAACTTAATTTTTTTTCATCCCGCAGGTGCCATTTTCATAATAAACTTCTCTTGGATTTGTTACTATCTGGCATCATTTCTTTTACATATAACCATCCTGACTAATGAATGCTGGTAGTATTTGTTTGAGCAGGTATTTTTTAATTGTTTTGTTAAAAAAAAAAAAAAAAAAAAAAAAGAACCAAAAATCAAAGAGGATAAAGCTAGATTTTATTAACGCTTGCGAAATGAAGAAGCTGTCAAGATGTAGGTTAAGAATGCTAATCCAAATACTACAACAAACTTGCCACCATCCTAAATTCTCAGCTACCCCAACTCATTGTCATATTGAGCATTTTTATGCACATTATCAAAGCTGAATAATGGACCTGCAACATTAACCACTATAGAAAGTGTGCATTTTTTCTTGATTAATGCACACTGGAAGAGGTCAGCTTTTGTACATTAATCATTTAAAATGCACTTTATATTTTCATTTTTCTACTCTATAATGTTACAGTGAAACTCTTTGGTCACATTATATCCTACCTAGGCTGCTGATTCTTTTACATGTGTACTTTCTTTCCCCAGACTGGCAACGTGTAAGTTGTTGGTGTCATGTGGCTAGACTTTCCACCTTACAAACTGAGAACAGAAGCATTTACCAGTGTAGAAAAGACAAGGCAAAAAGCCTTGACCTCACAACTGGAGGGGAAAAAAAAGTCAAATACAGTTTTGGTTATGCAGACATCCACACGCAGTGGCTGACCCTGAAAAGGGAACAGCCATCAGTGATTATGTCTGTGTAAGTTCTTAAAAAAGGCCCAGAGCAAGTGTCTGGTCTCTGCCGTGGAAAAGCAGGGAGAAGCAATGCTGCAGGAGATGCCACCCCAAGGAACCCATCGCCATGTGCTGACTCTGGCAGTGGCTGCTGCATGTGTGAGGAGGCGCTGGGTCATGGCAGGGCTGGGTAGCAGGAGCCTTCTCACCCACCGCTCATGCAGTCTCTGCATTATTCCTTCATTCATTGATTTTCTTTATGGTGCCTCCACCACCTGCAATAAAGGAAAAAATTTCCAGATTCCATATTTTATTTTGTTATTGCTGAGTATGTGATTTCTAACACAAATTAGCGCATGAAAAATCAAGACACTGCTGCCCATAGCCAAAATCTGAAAGCAACTTTGGGTGTCCAAAGCTTTTCTCCTTCCTATGTCCACTTGGAAATTAAAAGTAGTCATTCTGGATCATATTTTGGTTGCTCTACTAATGCTGAGAAAAACTGCCTAATCAGCTATACCTTTTTCAGCACACCATTTTTCAGCAGAAGATACACTCAGCTGAAGTAAGATCATGTGAATCTGGCTTGCTGGGCTGATTAAAAAAAAAAAAAAGGCAAAAAAAGCAAACCACAAAAAATGTATGAACAGTTATATCTCAGTGAGCCAGCCCAATGGCTTAATAGCCCAAAGTCTGGCTCTTGGAGTTTCTGAGCAGTTCAGGATTCCCACTTCCCAGACTCCAAGCCCTGAGCTTGATATGTCTCCAACTTGCAGGGGGTAGGAAGGAGCAGAGTATAGTGGTGCTGCTTTCAGCTCTGCTCACATGTTCCAGTTGGCAATGCAGCTTGTTTATGAGGTAGCTAAGGATACAGATACGAAATGAGAGGGAAACAGAATTTAAATGGATATTGGAAGAATGAGGAGAATAAAGCTTAATGGAAGAATAACATGACTGTTCCAAATAAGTGTTAACCAATACTAACTAAAGCCACTAATTCCAAGAAGAGGCTTGAGGAGGGTGTTTCTGAGTTGTTATAAAGGCTTTTTAAATCTCAACCATACTGTCTATACATTGCACCAAAGCACAGAGTTGATGGTGAAAATGAATAGACTGCTCTAAGACTGCCAGTTGAATGAGAAAGTTTATGCATTAAAGAAAATTACAGAAAGGCTGTTTCGTGGGGTTTTTTTTTAATAGTGATGTTGCATTGGTTTAGCTCTGGGGAAGATGTTTCTTAAATTATTAATTGTAGGAAATTTAAGAAACAAAAACAATTGCTTGAAAGGGTTGAATCTTCCAAAATGGGTTCTTTGGGGTTGACCTAGTTGCTATTTTTATAATATTTGGAGGAAAAAATGTTTACCATGCAGGAAGTTGGGCAAACTTTGTCAAGTCATTTCACCAAAGAGCATTTCCAAAAACAACTGTTCTCAGTAACTGCCATCTCTGGAAAGTTGGTCCCTAAACCCCTTGTTTTGCAAGGTGATATATGCAGGTATTTAAAAGCCACCTGAAGAGATGCAAGGGGAAAAGAGCTCTTTTGAAGCGTCATGATTCTAAAAAGTTACAGTGATAGAAAAATATTTCAGGACTACTTAGATAACCAGCTCTGACAGCTTGCACTGGTGCTATTGCAAGGTGGTCATGTCGCTGGAGTAACGGTGATGGCCCTGACAGCACACTTATTGTTATGATTCTAGAAACTGCATTAGTTTAAATATGTCAGTGCTTTCAGAGCTATTTGCATAGTATTTTTCCTTCTTGCCATTGCAATTTCTTTATTTTCATTTTAGGTCTGGGGGAGGAGGGTGGAAAGGCTGGATGTGCTTTGTCAACTAATTTAATGAACTGTCATCTATCCAGCGAGTTTACTGAGGAGCCTACAGAAATGTGAACAAATGGGATGTCACCAGAGCCACAGATGCTCAGGTAAGATCAAACCATTTATAAAATATGCACATTCATGCACACAGACACACAGATCTGCTACCTCTGAAAGCCAGGTGGGCTTTCAGACTGGGCAGGGTAGTACCTATGTACATATGTATAATAAATGTCCTTTCTTCACCTCTTCCACCTCTTCCTTCATCTTTGCATCAGAAGGAATGAGTACTGGAAGCTGTTTTCACAAAACAGATCCAATCACATCAACATTTTTTTTTCACCAAATCAAATAGGATATTTCTGAAAGCAATAGGACATGAGATAAACCAAGGATGCTTAACTGACCAGAGCCAGGATGGGTATTTTCCACCACAGTTTAGTTCAGAATTTTAAATTCATTTTCAGGAGACAATGGAAGAACAGCTTTTATTTCCACAATTACCATGAGGTGGGTCTTTCAGCAA